GCAGCCCATAAGGCAACATGAAGGACTTTCAGGTTCTTGCACTCCTGAAGAAGGGACAGAGTGCTAGGCCAGTCCTCCCACACTGCCTCATCTTTGTCACCTAGGAATAGGCAAACCTCTTCTAGCGTTTCTCGGGCGACAAGAGTAACGGCCTCCAGAATCCCTTGCCGCACTCTGCACACGTGCGCCACATTGATAGATAGCCGCTTCAGCGAGAGCCCCTCTTCCCTTCCGCGCAAAAAGTGCAGGAATTTTTGCTCGTCCTCTGCATTATGAATTTCCCACTCAAGGCTTTCCAGAGCAGCAATTGCTGCCCGAAACTGCTTGCAGAGCAACCCCAGATAAACCTTCCTCCTTGACTTTGTAATGCCAAACTCAAAGGGGCGCCACAGGACGCGCTCCAGGATGTTTCTGACCAGGTCTTCGGGCAGTCGCTCAAACAGGTTGATGGTCCCGGGTGCCATGCTGTCCTCAGCTATACAGTGACACTTTTGTGCGGCTGTCGACTCTAGCTCCGAATGAACTTCCCCTCTTCCTTGTCATTGACTGACAGCTGTGACAATGACTCTGCTCGGACTGCTGCCAAGCACTTGAAGCAGTGCTTGTCAAGCCATCATCGACTCGACAGTTCTCGTACGTCGATTGAAGGACCGACATGGTTTGCTAAAGCCTGACCAGATTTATCGATCCTGGTTACTAGGTCATTCCGAGCAGTTGGCTACTGAAAACCCCCGTACGTTTTTGCTGATTCCCCGACCCCTTTGCGACGGAGGGTTTCAGGAAAACCCGTTTTAATTTTCGCCATCATCAACTTGACGAGCTTGAAGAACTGTGCACAGCATGTAGTAATCTTGCTTAGAAACGGTACACCGGTTCAAATCAGGAGGAAAATTAGGGGCGCCTCGGCTTCAGCAGCCCCACACTTACCTGCTTCTACCGTCTCTCTCCTCCCCAAAGCCACCCTTCTCTACAATCATCCTGCAGAAGTTTGTAGGCACTAGCACCAGTGCGGCGCCAGTGGCAGAAGTTTTTGCATTGCAGTAAAGTTTCTAGGTAGGCCATGCATGGACACCCCAAGGACATCTACGGTGATGGGGGCCCAGATTGGCCCAAGTTGCAATCTGGTCCGTTGAAAAAAGACTCAGATGCACGGAGTGTGCAATTCCGGAGCTTTGAAATCGGACGCCCCCTTTGAGAACAACTGCAGGGCAACTGCGGTACCGGCGCCGCTACTCTACTAGTACTACCGGGTATGCTCCCATTGTCTGATGTCAAATTGTGCAAAGCAAGGCGCTGCAGCCTGCATACCCCTTAGGCTTCTGGCTTGCAGAATGGAGCCTGCAGGCGTAGATCTATTTGAGAGGCTGCCTGACGAGCTGGTCAGGAACGTCCTGGACAGAGTTCTGTGGACCCCTCTCGACTGTGACTCGCTGCGGAAGAAGCGCCTCTTGGGAGTGGTGTGCAAGAGGTTCAGGTGCAATATACCTTCTGTTGAGTGCGCAGACTTTCAGATCGACAATGCTGAAGATGAGCAGAGGTTTGAAGAGTACGTAGCCACAAGGGAAGTTGCTTCCTCTTTACGAAAGTTGGCTCTTCACATACAATCTCCTTCTAGTCTAGGGGCCATCTTTAAAGCGGTCTTTTCTGCTACTGAGAACAGGCTAGAGGAGGTCTACCTGTATCTGGAAGATACAGACCCGGAAGAGCTAGTAGATTGGCACGGCGTTATCTCAACCCTCCAGCAATGCAAAAAGCTGACAGTCTTACACATTACGCTGTGGGCTGCTGCCCAATGGAAAGACCCACCTTTTGCCCTGGACTTTTCCAGATGTCCGGGGTCTTTTCCTGTGCTCCAATCCTTGTCCATGTTTGGGTTTGCAGTTCCCCCAAGGGAACTCAATAGCTTTCTTGAGTCTTTCCCGGCTCTCCAAAGCCTGGAGCTCCAACACCCTGACGGCCCAACCCCATACGATCTCGAGTTTAGCTCCCTGACGAAGGCCTACTGGTGGGGGACTATGCGGGAGGGGCTGGACATTCTGTCTCCCGAGCTCGTCACTGTCCCAAGGAGCTTGGCCATGCTAACGGGCCATCTGCGCAGCGGGGACATCGCAACGTCCAGCCCCGTTAAAAGCTGGATCCTAGGCACTCTCGAGAGGATGACTCAGTGGGACGCCGCGGTTCAAAAAGCGATCGCGCAGCTGCCACACGGTTTGCAGACGGTGGTAGACTTTATCACATGTACAGGTAGCAGCATAGAGGTAATCGGGAGACGCATTACTGCCTTAAGATTGTTGCGCAATTTGGCTGCGTTGCCGGAGGCTCGGAGGGCTATCGGAGACGTGCCGGGGTGCCTAGCGCGACTCAAGGTGTGTTCGGAACACTGGGGGGAAGGCCCAATTGCCCTGGCGGTGCTTGCGAGGCTAACGTTGGATGTAGGAGTTGCACAGATCGTTGGCAGAATGCCGGGAATGCTAGGGCACCTGTTGTCTTCCCTTGATCCAATCGACAGCCTCGATTGTGCGGGGCACACCCTGCTGCATCTCTCTGAAGTGGCGCAAGTTAGACAAGCCCTAGCCAGATCGCGGGTGAATCTTAAAAGGTTGGCAGGTATTCTTGAAGCCCGCTTTGTCTGCGTCGAACAGCAGACAATGGCCGTAAGGGTGTTGCTACGGCTCCGGCGGGATGGAGAGAGGGGGGCGGCTATAAAGGCCGTTGAGCGATTCTTAGGAGCACAGGTGGCGGTGATGATTGGAACGGGAAGTGGGACGGCATTTTTACCGCGCAGGGCAGCTCTGAAGCTGTTCCAAGCACTTGCAAAAACGGAGCCTCAGGCAGTGCTTGCTGTGCCGGGGCTCTTGGAGGGACTGGTAGGGACATTGATAGAAGGTACTAACTTGGGAAAAGGCATGGGGCCATGGGCGGGGGATGCTCTGGGCGTGTTGGAGGGACTGGTTGCTGATGCTGAGGCCTGCAGGGCGGTGTGCAAAGTGGACGGGATCTTTCCGGCGCTTGTCGAGGTCCTGAGAACCCTTGGGACCTGGGAGCACAACCTGGCGGCAGCGGTTCTGCTTCAGTTGGTCAAGTCGTGCGGCGAAGCGGAGGCGATCGCTCGCCTGCCCGGGTGCATCCCCGCGCTCGTAGGGCTGTTGGACATCCCTGCCTACTCTCGCGACGGGGGCGCGGCGGTCGCGGCCGCCGAGACGCTCCTGTGTTTCTCCTGCAGACGAAGCGGCGGTGTCCTCGGTCCGGAAGGCGATGGCGCGGGAGCGGGCCCTCTTATGGCGGCTGGTCGACGCGTTGGGCGGAGTCGGGCCTCTCGAAGAAGATCTCTCCACGGTGGCTGTCAACGAAGGGTTGGTAGATCAATGCTTGGTGTGTGCGCTGATCTGCCTGGCTGAGGAGCCCAAGAATAGAAAACTGATAGCGGCTGTGCCTGGCTGCCTGGACCAAGCGGTGGGTCTCTTTGAAGGGACGCCCCAGATGCAGCGCATGGGCACGTTCCTGTTGTCCCGTTTGATGGCAGATTCGGAGGTGGCATGGAGAGTTGGACGGGTTCCCGGTTTTCGCGGCCGGGTGTCCAAAGTCATGGATGAGATCATAGCGAGTGGGGTGAAGTTTGACGGCAGCTCGTTGGACATCCGCAATCCTTGAGCGGAAGGTCTGAAGACTCGAAGGAAAAGCGGAGGGGCGGGGGCCGGGGTCGGGGGGCGGGCTGGGGGTGGAAGCAACGGAACGAGTTTTGGAGCACTGCGGCTGGAAAGGTGACCCCTCACACAGCAGACGAAAGTGAGAGCGAACGGCCAACCGAAAGCTGGGTACGCCAGAGGGGCATATAGGCTCAGGTGCGTGTCTATATTGAGCTTGCGGCATCTTTGCCCTTTGGTCTAAGGGTGTTTCTGACAATTTTTCAGTTACCTGTCTTCCTAGCCTCGAGTGGAATAGTCGTGCCTGCCGTTTTGTCGATCTATCATTTTCGCGGCCTTCGATCTGCACCCTATCCTGAAAGTCCGTCTTTGCCGCCTGTTGCTCTTCTAAGATAGTGCATCGATGCCGTGCCTCGGGCTACGATCGCCATGTGATAAGGAAAGGATTCGTGCAGGGCTGCCTCCTCCAGTGGTTATCGCTTCTGCCTCCTTCAGCGTTTATCGCTGCTAAATCTGGCACGCTCTGATATGATTGACGCTACCTAAATCGATACGGAATTTGCTTCTTGACTCAATCAATCCATGAGAAGGCCGTTCATTGCCTCATTGTCAGCGGGCGTGCACTGACGAGTTGACGGTCAGCATAATACGTAGAAACAGGGTGCTTCTCTGTGTTGCTTCGTCCATCCTCGTTGACGTCCCTCCTTTGGGCGAGCATCTCCTCTCCCGCTTGTGTTGTCGAACCAACCCTGACTTTTATCTTTTGAGGGAGAACCTGCCCAAGTTCGTTTCGATTTAGCAAAGGGTATCGAACAGAGCACACCGAATCGGGGGCACCTTGCGTCGACTCCCTTGATTTTTCTAGTCGGATACGATTGTGGTCCTTCTCCTACCAGGAAGTGAAAGGGACCCGCAGCAGACACACCGGAGGGGATGGTGCAGCTGCGGGGCTGACGTAGCTGTACGACGTCGGCTTCGGAGGGGCCAGGTCAGAAGGACAATCTGGGAGCAGACATGGTGGCAGATCAGGGCCAACAAAGTTTGGGTCACAAGGGAAGCCGCTGAACCGGTAGGTCTACAAGCTGTTTGTTTAGGTGGTCATGTTATTTCTTCCGTACTAAGATGAAAAGGAAGGGCTTTGGCAAAATGCGACAAGATACAAACTGCTGTTGTGGCTTTGTCCGTTCGGGGTCCGTTTGTGGCTGAGTCGGCCCAAGATTCGTCCAAATGAGAACCGAGTCCAGAGTGTCTCTCCTCGAACTTTCCGCGACCAAAGCGGCAGTCCTCGAACCCTGGGCATTTTGTGTCTGGCCATCGAAATGACTGGTCCGGGTTCGAAAGTCGGTTGAGGGATATTGAACTCTGTAGCTGATTTAACCGTCTGCTTGTAAAGAAAGCGCTGCTCGTAGCGAAGCCATGAGAAGTCGCTAGGGATGCTCAGCCTTGATCAATCACCCGAGAAAGACGTCATTTCACCAAAATAGTACGACCCCTTCTTTGCGCTTTGCAGTGCCTTCCCTGCTCTTTCTCGTTCAGAGGCCAGGGTGTGCAGGGTGTGCAGAGCCGCCGAGAGGGAACTTCCTTTTGCAGCGTCCCTCCACAAGTCCGGCGACCACGAACTGGCACGCCCGGAGAAGGGGTCGCCGGAAGCTGCACTTGGAAGCACGGACTGCATCGTTGACGGAGACTCACACTGTGAGCCGACTCAGTGGTGAGCATTCACGTTTCATGGTTAGGTTCTCTGATTGACATAATTTGAGATGGAAATGAAGCGGAAGACCGACCGAAAGGACTTGACCACTGATTTGTGAGAGCGATCG